TACCCGTCCTCTACGGAAGCAATTAACGCCTGTCGTTTTTGCACATTAAAATCCATACCGGTAAATATGCTACTTGCATCTGCATTACGTTTCACCACATTACTCTGACCAGCAGCTAAGTGAACATTTATAAGACACAGGCTGGTGCGGTGTAGCACAAGACGAAGACCAATAGCACCTTTATTTCCCATGCTACCCAGCGCTCCTGTCGCAACAGTCGCAACAGACATCTCCTGCATGTAGGGGAGAAGTTGGCGTCGTAGGTAGACACATAATAAGAGGCCAACAAGTTGCTTGGGTGGAAAGGCATAATATGGGGTGTTGCTTGGTGACCGAGAATCTGCGCCCACGGCGGCGTGGAGTCCCACGACCCATGGTGTAGATGCTTCCGTTTCCTCCTTTAACATGGCAGAGGCGCTCATGTCAACTTCCTGAAGGCTGACCATTATGAGGTCCACGGGCCTGTTTGTGTCCTCCGCCATTTTAAGTGAAATGAGGGCGGCCAAATTTGCAGGTGGTTTCTTGCACGCAACGTTGAACGTGACAAGACACACCGTAAGTTCCTGCTGTTCCGTGTACAGATTCTCATAGTACTGCAACTCCCGCAGCACCCACGATTCTTCCGGCGAAAGTAGATTGCCATCCTTCCCGACGGTGCGGCTTTTTACCGACGCAAACACATCTTCCATGCGGTTGCATTCCACATCAAACGCCGGAGGAAGCCCTGGAATCATCGCCGCAAACTTTTCCCAAGACGGGAGGGTATGAGAAGAGTCAGGGAAGAAAAGAGCAATTTGTGTGTGTGTGTGTGTGTGTGCACGCTTCTCTCTCACTCTCTTTCTCCCTGTTGTCCACTTCCTTGTTGTGGTAACTTCTTAATGTTTTCGCACCGACCGTCCCTTTACTGGAGCCGCGGCCCGCCTCCTAACAACAACGTACCAAATGCCAAAAACAACACCATGAAAAACATGCACGAAGGCAATAATAGTTCGGCGAGGACAAAACTCTACACACACACACACACACACATGAGCGTAATGGGGGATGGCCGCAGGTCCCCCACTGCGACCCACAAGCTCCGGTAAGGAAAAAGAGCCAAAAGATAAGACAAGAAAATGCATGCAAGAAAGCGACGCACAATACACATCCACGCACAACAAAAGAG